CTCGTAGTGAGCTTGCGGTCCTGGTAGCTCTGCTTGCGGCTCTCGTAGCTGTGACTGTGGCCCCCGTAGCTCAGCTTGTGGTCCGCGAAGGTCTGCTGGTGGCTGTAGTAGCTCCGCGTGTTGCGCTTGAGTCACAGGTCGTGGCCCTTGTAGTTTTTCAGTTTGGTCTCGCAGCTCTCCCGATAGCTCTGAAAGCTCTGCTCGTGGCCCTCGCATCTCAGCTGGTGGCCATCGTGGCTCAGCCCGTGGTCCTCGTAGCCCTGCCTGCCGCTCTCATAGTTCAGCCCCGCAGTCCTCGCAGAACAGCTTCTGGTTTTCGTAGCGCTGCTGGTGGTTCTCGTAGCTCAGCAAGTGGGCCTTCGAGTTCTTCCGGTGGCTCTCGAAGCTGCGCCTAAGGTCCTCGAACTTCAGCTTGTGGTCCTCGAGGGTCTTCTGGTCGCCCTGGCCCCTCTGCAACTGGTGGGCCTCGCTGCTCGGCTCGTGGTCCTCGTGGCTCTGCTTGTGGCCCCCGTATCTCAGCTCGGGGCCCAGGTAGCCCAGCCGATGGTCCTCGTAGCTCTGCTGGTGGCCTTCTCGTAGCTCAGCAGGTGGCCCTCGTAGCCCCGTGCCACCCTCTTCCTTCAGGCCGTGCTCCCCGTAGTCCTCCTCCTCGTCGACTTCATTGGCCTCCTCCTCGTCTGCCTCCTTCTTTGTCTCTGCCTCGTCTGGCTCTTTGACCTCCCCGTGGGCCAATAGTATTGGCCCACGGAGTCGTCGGCTGCCAGTTCGCAGGGCTCCGCGCTCCAGTTGTCTGGCGTTGCTCCTTGCACATCGACACATGACCCCCGTAGATCCGCAGGTGGCCCTCGTAGCGCAGGTTGTGGGTGTCGTAGCTCTGCCTGTGGCCCTGCTGGTGGCTCCTGGAGGGGTCTGCCTGTGGCCCTCGTAACTCAGACAGCAACCCTCGCAGCCCAGCTGGTGGCACTCGTAACTCAGCTGGTGGCTCCCGCTGTCCTTGCGGTACCTCTCGCAGGTGGTCGTCGACCACGCACTGGTGGTCGTACTGTTCGGTCGTATCAGTAATGCTGGTGGTAGTCGCCCAAACCGTACAGGTTGTCGTACTGGTCGTAGTGGTGGTCGTACTGGTGGTCGCGCTCACAGACCTCGACGACGATGTATGTGTTGTCCACCTTGTAGTACTTGGTGTCGTGTTTGCTGTACATGGTGTTATACGTGCTGTTGTGCTGGTCGGCGCATTTCTGAAGAGCAACGGTGGTAACGATCATGATGCTTTGGGGGATTTCGCTGGCATCTATGTCTGACGTGGTATCCCATTCGTTTCAGGGCCGATTCCGCTCTGGGTCTCGGCATGGTTGCCGGCAACTCCACGCACTGTGGGTAATCATCGTAGCAGCTGCGTTCGCGAGGGATCTCACGATGGCATGGCGCCCGCCGTGCCGCGGCGCGGCTAGCGGCCAGTGGGCCAAGGCCGCCCCCCCCAGGAGTTCCCACAAATGGCCTTCTCCTCCCTCCTACTCCTCTTCCCTCCTGCCTCCTGCCTCCTCCCTACTCCCTCCTCCTCGGACCGAGATCCTGGATCCTCCGTCCTCGACGCTACGTCGGCCGCGCTGTGGAGCTCTGCGGGCTATCCGCCGCGCGGGCTGGACCCCAAGGCACGAGCCGGAGCGCCGAACGGGAGGAGGGCGAGGCAGCACGGGGGGCGAGGCTCCACGCGTGGGCTCGCCGGCCGAGAGCGTGCCGAGGCGGCGCAGTGGCGGCCAGGATGGCCAGAGCGGCGCAGTGGCGGCCAGGGTGGCCAGAGCAGCGCAGTGGCAGGATGCACTTCTGCGGCACCCCACAGGAGCCCCCCATGCTATCTTGCCGGCTCATGCGAGTCGGCGCTGGCCGGCCCTACTCGACCCCAGTCGAGGCCAGATGGAGGCTGTCGACGCTGATCGACGCTGGATTGGCGCGTTATCATCGATGACCGGACGCTAGCGCACGCAAATGCACTAAGACTGCATGCCGGGAACATGCGAGGGCCTGGATGCAAGGGAACGGGCCATGGCAGGACGGGGAAGGGAAGGATGAGCAGAATTAAGCATGCATCCTGACATGAACGGGCAGGGCAGAGCAGAGCAGACCTTCTTCCCCTTCGGGGAGGGGTTTACCCCTCCCCCTACCCCCTCCCCCTGGGCCTGGAGAGGTCCTTTCGCGGGTGGCCGGAGTGGTCTTTTTCGACTCCTGGGAGGGCTAAAAAACGACACCCCTCACGAGGATTCTGGCCCCGACGGGGGGAGGCAGAAAAAACCCTCTCCTCTTCTTTGAAGCCAAAATCATTGATTTTACTACGGTGTTGGCCCCATTTTGCCCTTCTGAGGGGGCAGCGCTCATTAAACGCTACGTCGGCCGCGCTTTCTTAGGCTACGAGGCTCCATTTCAGGATTTTGCCCTTCTCCACAGGAGGGCCGGGCGAACTCGCTTCTTGAAAGCTCATCGATCTTGCACCTGCATCATGCGAGATGGCCATGGCAGGACAGCAGAATTAAGCATGCATCCTGACATGCAGACCTTCTTCCCCTTCGGGGAGGGGCCCCTGGGCCTGGAGAGGTCCTTTCGCGGGTGGCCGGAGTGGTCTTTTTCGACTCCTGGGAGGGCTAAAAAACGACACCCCTCACGAGGATTCTGGCCCCGACGGGGGGAGGCAGAAAAAACCCTCTCCTCTTCTTTGAAGCCAAAATCATTGATTTTACTACGGTGTTGGCCCCATTTTGCCCTTCTGAGGGGGCAGCGCTCATTAAAGCTCCCCTTTTCTTTCAAGGCAAAATCATTGATTTTACGAAGGTTTGGGGCTCATTTTGCCCTTCTGAGGGGGCAGCGCTTCTTAAAGCTCCTCTCTTCTGTGATCGATTCCCTCCAAGATGGCCCCAAGAAGCGCCCAGGAGGCACCAAGAGGCCCCAAGATGGCCCCAAGAGGCCCCCAGGAGGCCCCCAAGAGGCCTCCAAGAGGCCCCCAAGATGCCCCCAAGAGGCCCCCAAGAGGCCCCAAGAGGCTCCCCCGAGGCACCCAAGACGCTCCTGGAAGCCCCTGGAGCCGCCAAGAGGCCCCCAAGACGCCCCAAACGGCCTCCAAGAGGCTCCCAAGAGGCCCGAAGAGGCTCCCCCAAGGCACCCAAGACGCTCCTAGAAGCCCCTGGGGCCGCCAAGAGGCCCCCAAGACGCCCCAAAAGGGGACGAGGTGCCCGAACGCCTCACGCCACGAGGAGCCCGAACGACTCACACCAGGACGAGGGGCCCGAACGACTCACACCACGAAGAGCCCGAACGACTCACACCAGAAGGAGGGGCCCGAACGACTCACACCAGGACGAGGCGCCCGAACGACTCACACCACGAGGAGCCCGAACGACTCACACCACGACGAGGGCCCCGAACGACTCACACCACGAGGAGCCCGAACGAGTCACACCAGGAGGAGGGGCCCGAACGACTCACACCAGGATGAGGGGCCCGAACAACTCACACCACGAGAAGCCCGAACGACTCACACCAGGACGAAGAGCCCGAACGACTCACACCACGAAGAGCCCGAACGACTCACACCAGGAAGAAGGGCCCGAACGACTCACACCAGGACGAGAAACCCCAAACGACTCAAACCACGAGGAACGCTTTCTCTCCCTCCTCCTCCGCCTCGTCCTTCTCCCGCTCCCCCCACAAGGAGGATGTACAAGGAGGCGGGGGGAAGGAGTAACAGGGGAGATATGCGGGGCCAAGCGGACACACGCCTGAAAAACACGACTGTCGGCATGCTTCGCAAGAGTTGCTGTTGTGAGATGGGCTGGTGGGGATACGCGAAGCGTAAAGAATTAAGCATGCATCCTGACATGAACGGGCAGGGCAGAGCAGAGCAGACAACTGATCGGATAAGGAGCAGCAAAGCAAAACATATCACCACGAGAAGCAGCAACGCATTACACGCCTCTGGACAGAATATCACGTGATAGCGGCAACACGCAATAACAGATCAGCCCAGAAATCGTACAAAGAAACGGCGAGGCGAGCAGAGCGACAGACTGACAGGGATGTACTTGCACAGCGACACAAGCGCACACTTTCGACGGCGAGCGGTACTTAAGGCCTTTGCGCGTGCAGGTCGACGAGCGTGCAGCTTGATCAGCATAGCACGAAACACCCACGGCCGACAAGAAGGCGGAGAAGCATCCGCGGCGGGGACCGCGGTGACGGCGAAGGGCGGGGGCAGCGCGGAGCCACATCGGCGGGTGGCCACGTCGACGGGGTCGGAAGGGAAGGAGGCCGTCTGGGAGACGCGGACGGCCACCACGGACTAGCAGCCAGCAAGGGGTTCGACCGCGGAGGAGCGAGCAGGGGGGAGGAGGAGGAGGAGGAGGAGGAGGAGGAGGAGGAGGAGGAGGAGGAGGAGGAGGAGGAGGAGGAGGAGGAGGAGGAGGAGGAGAAAAAGGGGGGGACCATGGTGACCAAGGGCGCGCGGGGTCAGAAAAAGACAGACTCCGAGGCAGCGTCGGGTCGCGCGCGCGCGCGACCTCGCCCCGTGGGTGGGGAGCTCGTGGGGGCACGGCTGGGGCGGCAGGGCTCGACGGTGCACGTGGGAGCAGCACCAGCGCGAGGAGGGGCTCCGCCGAGAGCGGGCGGCCGAGCCGTCCGGTCGAGCGCGCGGGCGCGCGGGCACACGGGCGCGGCACGCGCGCGCGCCCGCCGGCAGGCACGGGGGCACCGCGAGCACAGAGGCCAGCACAGGGGCCAGCGGAGGGGCAGCGGGCAGACATGCAGGCAGGCGGGCAGGCACGCGGGCGGGCGGGCGATCGGGCGGGCGGACGGGGCGGGCGGTCAGGCAGGCGTCCCCGTCGCCACCCTCAGCGTCGACCGCGGCGATAGAGAGAATCTGGACGAACCCGCGCAAGCGAGCAGGGCGACGTGCCCGAGGCAAGAAGCCCTGCTTCAGCCCAGGCTGATCGCGGAGAGGGCCGAGGAGGGCGCGCCCGAGCATGTAGTAGGTCAGCGCCAGCAGCAGCTCGGAGCCACGTTCTGTTTGCGCGCCAGAGCCCCACCAGATGATCCGCACAACGTGTGTTAGTGCCAAAGTGCGCTGGCCAACAGAAGCCCTCCAGCACGACGCAGGCGGTGCCACGAAGCCTGACACGGGCTGCGTGCAATCGGCGGAGCTGAACGGGGCAAACACACATTAGGCTAACACACGTCCTGAAGATTGGCGAACCACGCGGAGCCAGGGAATAATTCCCCAATCAGTGCTTGCACTGACGGGGTCCTAGCGGAAATTAGAAGATTTGGCGAAAATGTCCCGCCGATTTTGGTGGTCGGCTGGGTTCCCTGGTCACGGGTCCCGCCCGGGTTCCTGGGTTCCTGGTTTTTGGTTCCGGACCGATTCGGTGGGCTCTGGGTTCCCATGTTCCCGGGTTCCTGGTCGATCTCCTTATCGATCCCATTTCAAATCATCCACTGATTGGGTTTTCCGCTGGCGTAATGGATTAGAGGAGGGCGCGTGCGGCCTGCCTCAAGAACAGTCAGCCGCCGCACCATGTTGTAAAAGGGGCCCAGCAGCCCTGCCCCTCACGCAGCATCCCATCCCCAGAGACACCGTCCCCCCCCACACACCCAACTGCACGGCTTCCCCCGGGGCCGGAGGCGACCCGAGGAGGGGAGGGCGAGGAGGGGGAGGAGTTGGAGGGGGAGGGGGAGGAGGAGGGGGAGGAGGAGGAGGAGGAGGAGGAGGAGGAAGAGGAGGAGGAGGAGGAGGAGGAGGAGGAGGAAGAGGAGAAGGAGGAGGAGGACGGGTCGCCGAAGCCCTTCGGAGAAAGCCTCCACCCCACCCCGCCAGCAAGAGGGGTAGGTGTGAGCGACGATGGCCATCCTAGCCATGCTTCCCCTGCAAGCGTCATTCTGGGCACGGTGCATGCAGCGGCGGCACACTGCGCGCTTGCCAAGTCCAACTATTCCAGGACTCGCCGAACGCACTGGGCACGAGCGTGGAGCTGGAGATGTCTACCCCTCCTCAATCCCCCCTTCTCGCAGGGCTGTGATTTTCGAAGCTTGGTGAGTATGGGTTAGGCCCTGGATCCTCGGAAAAGCTTCGGGACAGGCCTGGGGGCACCACGGGGGCCCAGAGCCCCTCCAGACGGGCTCACTACGACACTGTAGGGTGCCTCTTAGGGTTCGGGGAACAAAACATGTCACAAACAGAATATTTGTTCGGAGGTCCGCGCGGATTTCCTGGAATCAGCGCGGCCCTCCGAATGCTCATGTTTGTGACATGTCCTTTTTCTTGGAAGATGCTGCCGAAACGGCCCAGGAGAGCCATCGGCGCCGCCAGATTGGTCCGAGAGGCCTCCAAGACGACCCTCCAAAGGAGCATCCAACGAGCGCACGACAGGCCCCGAAGAAAGGTCCAAAGAGAGGCCCCAGCAATCATCGCATCAGAACTTATTGCTCCAACGCTTGCGTTAAAGATGCCTCTTACCTCTTACTACTTACGCAAATACCTTCTGTCGATGTGATGTGTTGTTCACCACGAGCGGTACTGCCTTGCTGCAGGCAGATCACCAGAGGCCAAGCCCCCCTCCGCCTAAGCGCCGGGGGGACCCGTAGCAGAAAACGGCGTCGGGAAGGGAGCCAGGCTGAAGTGGCAGCAGTGAACTTCAACACTGTTACTCTTCTGTTTTCCCCTCCTCGTCCTTCCAGCACTCCGCCCGCCCACGCGGTGGGCGGTCGTGCACCGAGAAAAAGGCCCGGTCCTCCTTTGGAGGCGCATGTGATCTGTTGTCAAGATCACTGTGGGATCGCCGTCCCAAGACAAAAAGCCTCAAAAGGGGACACGACCTCCTCCGGAGGTGGCAGCGTGACACGGATGGGCGCGTCGCGGATCTTTGCCCCGAAAATCCAACACCGGGGGACGACGAGGGCTGGGACTCAGCCGTGTGCGGGATCTTCGCCCCGCCCTGCCCTCCAACGGAGGATCGAAGTTTTCGGTGGAGACTCCACTCCACGATGCCATCCACAGGAGGATTGGGTTAATAGAAGGCAACATGCGCGACGTCGAGCGCACCGCTCACGTCTGGTCGGGGGAACACCCCCCCCATGCCGCTGGCCGCCGCCACTCGGCACCGCTCGCCCTTTCGGGGTGCTCTCGGCAAGGAAACGAGGGCACTGACTGCCCCAGTGCCACTCCTGGAAGCACAGGCAGCACACGTTGCCCCCCAGCAACTCCGAGGGGATGCTCCCCGGGGCAAACTGGCCCGCTGCGGACGTGGAAGCACCGCCACTGCGCGGCTCCTTGGGTCTCAGGCTGGCCCCGCCACCTCGCTCGCCCTTGCCCTTGGGCCCCTTGTCCTCGGCGCCCCGCTTGGTCTTCGCGGTCGGGCCCGCGGCGGCGCAGCTCGCGCCCGAGCTCCCCCCGCTTGCAGCGGCCGTCGGAGGCCAGCCTTTGGCGGGTCGGCACCTCGCACCGCGTCGGGGCAGCTTCTCCCCGTTCTTCCTCCGCGTCGTCACTGCGATCCTCTGACGAGGCCGACGCTCCTCCGCTGCTCGACCTGGCCGGGTAGCGATGCGCGATCGCCTCCGGCGCTCGCGCCCTCGCCTTCTCCCGGCGGGCCTGCCCCTCGCGCGGCCGCTCCTCGCGGTCGGAGCGGCAGGCGGCCAGCCGGCCGAGGGCCAGCACCCAGTAGGCGGCAGCTGCAGGAAGCTCCTCCTGCAGGGCGACCACGAAGTTCACCTCGATATCTTTTTGCCGCCGCAGTCCTCCAGGCAGCACGGCGACGGGCGGACCAACTGACCGGGGCACGCCACCTGGTAGAAGTTCCCGAGCCAGAGTAACCACTGGCTGTCGCTCAACTCCTGCACCTCTTTGCGGTCGAACGCGAGCCACTGGCCGTCCACTTCCAGGACCTGCCCCTCGCCCGCCACATCTGCCCCCGCCGAGCCATCGCCGCCGCGCTCCTGGTGCACCCAGCACACGGGCCCAGCCCTAGGACCGAACTGGAGCTCGCGCCCCGAGCTCCTGCCTTGCGCCCCCGCTTCTCCGTGCGCTCCTCGGGGGCTGGCGCCGCGCCGCGCGGCGCCTGCTTCGCCGTGGGCAACAGGACGGGCCCCTCCTTGACCACGCCGCGCTCCGCGAGGGGCGGCGCCCGACTGCGGCCCCGCCGCTCGCCTTCGCCGCCCGACGGGGGCGCCGTCTTCACGTCGTCATGGCTGGCCATGGCGCAACAACGGTCAGCAGGGGGCACGCGCGCGCTGGCGCCCGCTTGGGCCACAGCGGCTGCGCGACGCGGCTTGTCACGAGAGCGAGAGAGGACGAGGTGGGACGGAGGACTTCGCGGCCCCCCGTCGCCCGCCGCATTGCCTCGCCTTATGGCAGAGCGTTCATCGCGCGCGCTCGCGTTCGACTCGCCCCCACAAGCTCCCAGACCTCGCCACTAATACCACCTTTTGTTAAACGGTCGGAAATCATCCACCGTCTCGGTAACCACCTCACCCCCCAACCCCCCTTGTCTTCATCTCTGCGGGCCGCATGACGCGCGTGACTTCAGGGCGGCGAGCCACGCCGCGTCGTGCCGGTCGTCGGGGACGTTGCCGTCGATCTCCACACGGTCGCACAAGCTCCGACAGTCGGGTAACAGCGTGAGCAGCATCTGTGCCTCGCCAGACTCCACCACCGACCGGTTGGTCCATCTGCGCAGAACTTCACACAGGAGCGCCCGCATGTAGCTGACCATGCAACAACCCACCAAGCACGCCGCCGTCTCGGCGGAGAACGTTGACGCAACCACACGGTGGCTCGCCCCGCTGGTCCGGTCCTAGATAGACATCGGCAGCTCCTCCTGTTCCAAGCAATCTAGGTCAACTGCTGCGACTACTGCTCCGGCCTGCGACCGGACGTCGTGACGATCGAGCCTCTTGAGGCCCGTCCGTCCCCAGCAACTCGCCGGCGCTGCCGCAGAGAGAAGAGTCGCGCCAGCGGCCCACGCCCATGCGGCCCTTGATCGGCACAATCTGCAGGCAGACGTCGCGACTGGCATCGACGTCCCGGATACATTTGTTCAACTCCCGCGCGTCCGCATGGGTCGGTAATTTCTGGAGCTTCTGAAATCTGTTCGTCGCGAAGGCCTTATCCAGCCGGCACTGTCCGGCTAGCCAGTGCAGGGAGCCCACCGCCGACTGAAACTCCGCCCGACCGATCGGGGAAATGGCGTCTCCCCGTTTTCCGTCCGCTCTCAGTTGACCTCGCCCAGGTGTCCGTCGATAAACTCCGGCATGCTGACTTTGACACAATCTCCAGCCACTCGGACGCGACGTCCGGCGTAGAGGTCGCCCTTGGCTTGTCCCGACACCAGCGTCCAGGACCCAGACGGGGGCCTCCCCTTGAGCTCGCCCTCCACGTTGCGCATCATCGCGCTGCCATCGTGCGCCATCATACAATCATCAACAGGAACGATCAGCACGCCCGTGAGACGGTCGCCCTAGTAAGAGCAAAAAACGCCACGTCCAGCTGCAACTGCCCCCAGCCCATTTCTTCGACCAAGGCCTTGCGGAAGGTGTTGAACCATGCTCGTGGAGCGTCGGGCAGCCCGCATATCCCCTTTTCGATATTGAGCAACTTGCCTGGCTCCAGCCCAGGATGACCACCCCGTGTCTGTCGCATGCACAACGCCTCCTTACCCCGGCGTGGCCCCCCCTGCATGAAGGCGCTCGAGACGTCACCGATCGCCAGCTGGGGAAGCTAGCCGCGGTTCGCGGACAACTGCAGGAAAGCGTGGGAGCCGGATCGTTGCACCGTGGGAGCATCCGTCATCGCCGTTCCCAGTTCCGCGCCTGGATCGCGCTGGCCCAGCACACACAGCCGCGCCTATGTGTTCACGGACAACGGCGCACCCGCGCCGCGCAGAGCAGCGCTCTTGTCTTTGAGCATCATGTCGCTGCCAAGGATCCGCCGACGGCCCACCGTCCGCAATTTCCCGACTCAGCTGGCCCCAGCAAAGTCGCATACTTGTAGCGCGGCCA